TGGGAAGTGCTCAGACTGAGCAAACCCTCTCTTGAGCAGATCTTGTGAGTAGCACTTAGTCATGTTCCAGCTGTGACCTGATGGGAGAACTCCCTTAGTGTTTCATTTAGGCGCTGTGATTTCTGCTAAACGTAGTGTGGAAGGAGGCAGGAAGAGGAGAGAGACTGAATTCTTCCATCATTGAGCTGCTGTGGGTTACACACTGAAACTCTGCTGTCACTGGAGTTTGAAGGTGTTTTCCCCATTCATTACAGCGAATGCTTTGATTCATCTCCCTTTTTAAATTGAAAGCACCTTTTGTTCTGTGATTTCTCTATGTAATGAGATGTGCAGGACTGAAGGCTCATAGTAGTTCTGCTGCCCTTCAGTGATCATTTCGAGCTCTTTCAGAGTAACTTTCTGTGTAAAGATAAAATTTACTTAAGTCTTCCCTACGTATGGTAAAAGTTTTCTCATTCTTTTCCTGTCATAAATGTGATTCAGTAGATAGAATCTTTTAAACAAATGAGTAGTTTGTTTGACAGTGTAGACCATGTATTTGAGTACTGCTATTTTTAATGCAACATTCTTTGCCTTCTGCCTTGCACAATGCTCTGTGCTGCTTTAAAAGGGCAGGAAGATGAATCGAGGATGTGATACTATTCATCTAAATTTATAGACCTAGACCAAGATCTCTTAAAGAAACTAATAATGTCTGAGCTCAATTTGAGGTACCACCAAGGACTGATTTCCTGAAAGCTCCGGAGCTGAATCTCTGTAAAGTGGCTACTGTATATAGCTTCTGAAAATCTAGGGATGTTTAAGTAAAATGGTACCAATCTGGGGTATTTCCCTAGCTGAGTTCAGGCTTGGTGTGGGATTTATTCTGCTCAGCAGTGTCAGTGTTGGCTTAGTGTTTGTCACTGCAGTTAGTAGTGGTCTGAAGCAGGTTTTAGTGGGAGTGGAAGTAAGTCAACAATGAAGAAACTTGAACTCTAGAGCACATGCATGAAACAATGCAATTCTGGAGTTACAGTGGGGGAGCAGTGGTGCTTTAAAGTTCTCAATTTCTCTGAAGCACTGTGGTTAGCATGCTGCTAGGAATCTTCTTGAAAGCTGAGAATGCAAAGGATCTCAGTAACAGGTTTTTCCAGTTTAGATTCATGAAAGGCCTGACCATAAAATCATAATACTCATGTTCTGTCCTTCAGCGTCACCTGACCGCAAGATAAAGTCTGACGTGTTCCAGCTTTTTCACCCGTTTCATAAATGTATGTCTCAAAATAGCTGCAGTACAGCACGTTAAGGTCCTTTTAGCTTAGTGCTGCTCCCCCAGTTTTGGTACGCAGAGGCAGGACGTCCTCCTCCAGGAATTCTATGGACAAACCTTTTGTTCTGCTGAAGAGTTTGTTTCACTTAAATAAGAACAAGAATAAGAATTGTTCATGTAATTGGTGGTTGATGGTTTTCCAAGTCCTTGTTTTGTGTATTTACTTTCCCATTAAGCAATATGCTAGTGCAAGAGAGTACATGCCAGTGGTGGTAGCAGCACCATGCTTTAGTTCTTGCTGAGAGCGTAGTGCTCAGAACTCTGTTATCCAGACTCTGAACTCCCTTCCTTGCCTTTGGCCTGTAAAATTGCCTACCCTAATTCTGCAAAGCCAAGAACTCGGGCTCAAGCATCCAGATCTCTTTGTTTTCTCCCAGTCTGCTTTCTTCTGTGTCAGCTTAGATGTAGTTTTATTTAAGAGTAGGAGACACTTTTGATAGACCACGTCCCTATCTATTTTTGTGCAGTGAGTTGGAGTGCATGTCTGCAGTGCTTGTCCATATGCTTGGGGTTTTTGAGTGTAGAAGCCCTGCAAGAAAAACACACTTTAATTGAGGTAAAATGTGAACTTCAGTTACTTGAGTGTTTTATGCATTGACTTTCACTGAATGTCACTGGTGTGACCAGCAACATCGGATCCCTTCAGCCTTCATTCCCCATGGTAGCATGGCTGATGTTTCTGGGACGTTTCTAGTGACCTAAAGTAGGAACTGGGAAGAACACTGATGGCACAAGTGTGGTAGGAGAGAAGGTGATCTGCATGAAAAATACCAAATGTATTTTGGGAATGGCTGAGGGAAGGGGGTGTGCTGGGAGCTGGCAGTTTCACTGCTGCGCACTCTGTGTGTGCTGCTTGCTTCAGTGGCCTGGGAAGATGCATGGAAGTACGAATTTGGTTTAGACAAGTAAGGTGAAGCTTAAGTATTCAGTAGGCAGTTTAACACTGCAGAGTCCCAAGGGTGGTAGCAGAACCTTCACCTTTGTTCCTGCCTCGGCTTTAAGACTGCAGATTTTCTGGGCAACCTTGGCAAATCCCTATCCTTCTGACTCAGTTCTGCAGCTTTAAAACGGGGATTATAGGACTGACTCATACAGCAAAACACTTTCAGGTCCAAAGATAGGAGACTAAAACATGGGATTTAGTGTATTTTTATTGTAGTGAGTCTCACAACATCGATTTGTCTTTAGTTGGGGTGTGCTTTCAATCGAGAGAGAAGCTTGGGCCCTATGTTTTTAAATAATAGCACCCTTTAACTTTTGGTGTAGATTTAACTTACGGCATAGCTACCGCATTTACCAGAGCTGTTTATCCTAATTGAAAACCCTGTTGACAGAGAAAACTTGCTGCAGATGAGTCCTTCCTGCTGTCTAACATTGTGTCTCTGTGCCCTTGTTAGCATAGCATGTTTTCTGATGCTGTTCCTTTGTTTTCCCACCCTTTCCCCCCAGCTTATTCTGGCTAAGGCTGTTCCTGAACAATGGCCTTGGCCAAGCTGGTGTAGTGTAGGGTGTGCTACAATGGTGCACAGTGGGGCTGGGGTACAGCCCCTCACCCCTTCCCGATAAATCCTTGTTGCTCGGCTGCATCAGCACAGGGCGCCTGGGAATTCCTCTGCCTTTGCCTGTCTCCAGTTGCCCTGCACGGGTGATGGTGGAAGCAGGTGCAAAGTGACACTGCTAAAATTAGTAATCTCAAGAGCTGTTTCTGCATGTGATGGGGGCATTTCAGCTCCCTCCCTGCTCCGGGATCCGCTTCCCTGGCAAACCCTGGGAGATCCTCCTAAACCAGCAGGAATCCAGCATTTCTTTAAGGAGTCTCTTTAAACACGGAGTTCTCAGTCCAGTTCAATGCCATGACAGAGCAGGGCTCCGTTTTCCTCACTGCTCTGGTAAAGCAAGGATCACGGCTCTGCCAGTGCTTTGTCATGAAGAAGTCCAGTCTCTATCTAGAAAAACAGTCCCTCTTTGTCTTCTTCCTCTAATCCTTGACTTCTAAACAATAAACCAATGATCTATTTGCTCTAAAGCAAGATGGAATTAGGGGATGAAGGATCTCCCTTTGGGAGAGGATGAGGAATGTGCATCTGAAAATGCAGGTCAGGTTTTCTCTTTGTCTCTTTGGATTTGAGGCTTTGGTTTTGTTTTGGTTGAGGTGTCCCACAGGGTCTCGTTGCATGCAGAAACGCACACATGTTGGTGGCGGTAGGACTTCTACAAGTCAGAATGAATTTTGTGACATGAAGCATTACTTAAATGGAAACCAAATAAAAAGAACACAGAATCTCTCTCTTGTAGTTGAAGAACTGAAGCCAAAAAACTTAACTCATTTGGGGTATTCTGCTGTGTCCCTTTGTAACTGCCCTTACATGGGACAACAAAATCCAGCCTTTGGTGACCTCCTTGTTACCACTTTGTGGTTCTTGCTGTCCAGATGGATGCGTCAGTGTTGCATTCACAATGCCTGCGGAGTAGGATGTGCATATAACAATAGCAAAACAGTGGGAGAGGATTTTAACCACAAACTCTGATTTGGGAAGAATGGCAGTGCTTAATCTTCAGAACGTCTGTGGTTTTGCTTCTCTGTCGTAATGGAAAACTTGGTGCTTGTGTAACCTGGGTGTAAGGACAAACAACTGGAATCTCCTTGAAAGGCTGCACGTTGGACTCTAAAAATAACCGGGAGAAACCCCCTGATTTTTACCTCTGCTTTGATGTGGTGTGTAATGAAATGATGTTCCAAAGCTGTTCCTTTGGCAGAACGTGAGCAGTTGGGTTTGGTGGGACTTCTAAAGGATTTGTGTATGGAAGGTTGAGATGAAACTACAGCAGGTTTGGGAGGTGAGGGGGGAGCTGACGTGCATCTGTACACACCAGAGAGGCGCAAGGGTGCCCAAGATGGCAAAAGATGCTGAATATGTAAAGAAATGGGTGATTTTTGTGTCTTTTAGTGTAAGAAGTTGAACTCGGGTATGCATTTGAGCTGAGGTGGTATGTTTCGAACAGCGCCATAAACCCTTCTGTTTCCCTTGCTTTGACTCATGTTTTCACGCTTATTGACATCACAGTCAATGGAGATGTAAGCAGCTCAAATAAAACCTCTGGTTTTCACTTCCCCTTTGGGATTCTTGCAGTTAGTTTTAGATTTGAGGTGAAATAATCATGCACTAGAGGCCCTGGGGCAGCGCTCGCTGCAGTGGCCTCTGTGTGTCAGCATCAATTCTGTCAGTGCTGCAGTGGCAGAAGCATGGTGCAGGCTTTAACCTTGGGAAAAGTGACCAGCTCTGCTATGATGCTTATGGAAAGTGACGTTTCTTTTATGTAAATCTGTATTTTAAAACCTCCCATGGGCTGTCCTGAGCAAACAGACCGTGACTCTTCTCATTGCTCTTTACATCGCTGTGGATTTGTCAGTCCCAGTTGGAGGGTCTGGGACATGCGGTGGGAGCCTGGATGCTGCTTCCAGTTGATACTGTGTGTTTTGTGCTTAAAAAACTTTTATCAGGGTAAGTTCAGAACAAGGCAAAACTCCTTCTGGCTTTCAGAAGCCCCTCTCAACACCCGCAATGTGGGTGAGTGTATGGTTTTTACGTACACCTTAGTAAAGCCCCTATAGGGCCCTAAACCAAGTCTCTGCTTTATGCCCCCAGTACCCTAATGGATGTGTATGGGTTTCTTCTGCCTCTCTGTACAGTTACAGGCTCCGCATGGCCTCTAGATGTCCTTCCTCCTCTTCGCATAACACCAGCACCAGGCAGTGCAAGAAATCCAACTGCATCGCACCCCACTTCCTTAAGGAATAGACTCTTCTGCATGTCCAACCACACCAGGTAGGGCGATGCAGCTGGGTGCTGCCGCGGGAGGATGCGTAGGGCTGCCTATCCTGTGCCTCTGTGAGCAAGGAGATGCTATACAGGAGATACCAGATACAGATATTACCCGAGCCTCAGGAAAGCCACAGTGTTGTTGCCCTTGTTGTAAGTGGTCACTGATGGCAAAAGGAGGTGTAGAGCAGGAGAGGTGTGTCAGAAGTGGGTTAAATCCAGCACAAGGGACACGGTGTTCGCTACTGATGTGTACTTGTATACTCTGGATCAAAAGGATCTGGTGGGGCAGGGTCAGCTCTTTAGCCCCATGGAAGATGTGGGGAGAGTTTTCATTCATTTGTGAGCTTTTAAGACATGAGGTGTTCTGTTGCTCCTCTGGGTGCTGGAGGAGGAGGCTGGAAGATGGTGGTGATTTTGGTAAGGATGAGGTTTGTCCCCATCTTAGAAGAAAGTGCTGTTTGTATCTGATCGTAGTACAGAGTAAAGTGCTCTGAGATCTTTTAAGCTGGATGTGTAAATGCTGAATGAATTACTAGCTCTGACCAAAAGAAAGTATGCCTGGGAAATGTGTGTTGTGCCTGGCTGCTTTGGTTGGATGCCAGAAGCTCCAGGACCACTATTACAATGCAAATTGCACTGTTACAATAATATACAAAAACACTAGCTGGGATTGTGGTGAGATAAACTGATGTAATGAAGCTTATAGGGGCTGGGACAAATTAATGACCTGGCCCAGTGGCGTTGGTGAAGCTGAATGAATTTCCTGTTGGTTGACTTTACACAAGACACTGTCTTCTGCTGCTTCATTTCCCTCTCTGTAACACACAGATACTTCCTTTATGCTGCTGTAACAGCTAAGGAACATGATACATGTGTAAAGCTAAAACTGTGCCAGCAAAATCAAGATGCTGCAGCCTGAAATTTATTCTTTGTTAAGTATGTTCAGAAAAATAACTTCTGGGGGACAAATTAGTGAGATTGTGAAGTTTATTATCTCCTGAATGATGGGGGTGTTTGCTAAGGAAATGTTAACGTCCCCCCCTAAGGCATAGACCGTTCAGTTGTGGGAAGCCTTAACACAGAACTGACTTTACACAGAAGTGAAATCGGGGGCATCTTCTCCCTGCTCCCAGCTCAGGGTAACGGGGCAGGTGCTCTGACTACTGATTCTTAAAGCTGACACTGATTAAATGCAACTCTCTGTGTTTTCAGGTACTAAGAACTTGGAAAAGGTGAGGTGAAGTGATCCTCAAGCATTATCCTTTCCTGCTTTTTCTCACACGAGGTGAGACAGGTCCCTCAGCAGGTAACAGGGACAGTAGTTTCTTCTGCTGGAAGCACTGGCTTGCTTGCTGTCACATCGTCCTTCCTTCCAGAGGGAGAGAGCACAGAGCAGGCCTCCTGCCTTCTCCAGAGAGTGATGAGCTGTGGCTGCTGGTGAGGGGTGATCTCGGGGTCCCCTGTGCATGGAGTCCGCATGTCCCCATCCAGCGTCGAGAAGTGTTCAGACACTTGCAGGCAGATGAAGCGTGTTCAGAGGGTTGATGGGTCTGGATGAGTCTCCTCCTCCTGGTGAACACAGAGGGGTTTAACATACTATGCAATTCAATTCTGAAAAGACTGTTACATCCTTTTAGTTCCTGCTTTACATCCTAACGGGTAAAGAATGGGGCATCCCATGGAAATCCATGAGGGGAGTGGTAGGTTTTACTGAGGTTTCCACATCTGAAGTCTGGGGGTATCCCAGTCTCTTGACTTTGTACCATTAGCTTTAATGGGCATAATGCCATTGCTTTCCAAGTGGGTCAGGACCCACTAGTTTTTGGGAAGTCCACCTGTGAAGTGCACTGGTCACCCAGTTTCATAAAGGGATAAGCATCCATTTCTCAAAAGCTACCATTACATTTGTTGCCGGCCTGGTGCTCCTGTCATAGTCAGGATTGATTTATTTAGAGTATCAAACTTGCATGTTGCTGTGCAGTACCAAGTGACATCTCTCCTTAGATACAGAGCTTGTGATTGCAGCCCTCAATGCAAGCATGTTCTGTTACAGTGGTCCAGCAGAGAGGACATCCATGAAGGTAGCTGGCAGCCAGGATAGACAAGTTGCAGAACCACATGGGTCAGTTGGTAAAACACAGTGCAAAAAAGGTCTCTTACCTCTTGTTCCAAAATGGTGACAATCACACACTGGTGCATCATCTACCAGGGGTGCTTCCCCAGACCCCTTCATCTCAACACAAGATGAAGGATTCCTTCTGTCAAGATAAGTTACTGCAGGATCCCTGCTAAGGTAGCATCCGGGTTTGGGGTTTTTCAAGGAGTCCAGGGGGGTGATTGCCCTCTTTTCCCCTATTTCAGCCAGTTTATTCCTCTCCTTGCCTTTGCACTCCACACAGATAAGCATACATCTGTGTATGCACAAGCTAGGTAAGAAAAATTAAGTGCCCGGTTGATACTCCTTCCCTGGAAAAGTGAAAAAAAAGAGATCAATTTTAGATATATCTTCATATGTATATGACATATATATTAATATATATGTATGAAATTACTGAAAACAGTTAATTTTGTATAGTTTTGCTGAGAATCAAATTGTTCAACATGAATCCAAAAGCTTTAAACAAGAACCATTGGGTTTGTGCATTGTGAAATCGTTTTAGCTACATGTTGTTTGAGTTGGAAAGAAAAGGTCTTCAGGATCTTCTATTACCCAGATACAGATTTTTTTGGATAAACCCCTGCTGGAGGCTTTCTAAGTGCAATTGTGGTTTGGGGGAAGGCTGAGCTGCTGAGAACTACATGAGCCATAAAAAGCTACATCCCTTTCCATGTTGGAAGTTCAAGACTGATACCATTGAGTGCAGGCTTTGTGGGGGGAGCCCCTGCCACTGCTGGCTGCTCTGGCTCTAGGATTTGTCCCCTCTTGAGCTTTTTCTGCTAGCAATAATTTCCTCTTTCCCTATGTGATGTAGCAATCCCAAAAGAAGGCTGAAACTGTTCGCAGTAGCCTGGGAAGACTGAGATTCTCATCATCCATCCAAACCAGTTGGAAGCGAGTATCCAGATCTGCTTGGCAGCTTGGTAAACCGTGGTCAAATAGCACAGAAATCAAGTTCCTGGCCTTAGGCGTATCTCAGAGAAGCTGGCGTGTACATAGAGCTCCCTGATCACTTCAGCTCGCTTCAGTTTTGCACAAGATGTCTGAAGTTTTAATGTATTTTCTCTCCATGTTTTCTCCTTCCTCTCATCATCTAGTACTAGTATGGTAAACCCTGTTCTTTCAAACAGGAATTCTCTTCCTGCGTGTGTGGACAGCATCTAGATCATCTGAAAACTGAATATACGGAGCTAATAAAATCTAGCTCCAGTCTCCTCTGTCTTAAAGCACCGGTATGATGTTCCCTTGCTTTCCTGAGTGCAGAGATCACCCTGAGTGTATAAACGTTCCTTGGTCACACAAGGATTGTTGCCAGGGAAGAGCATTCTTGCCATGCAGCCCAAATCCTGCTTTGAACGCTCCGTTCTTCTGAGATCCCCTCAACTTCCAGCAACAGTAAGTGAAATTCAGTACAGAGTGTCTGGCACGGATGCTGCTGAGTTTAGTGCCTTTAAGGCATACCAATGAGGTTAGAAGAGGTCGCTTTTGTGCAATTTATTCTTGCTGCTTTTTTTTAGTGTGGTATTAACTACAGTAACGGACAAACTCAAGGAGAGAAGTGTGTAAATTGTGATATAGGAACATTTGTTTTCCCCAGAGGAACTCTGCTTTCTCACATCAGCCTGTAAATATGTATTTACACTTTTCAAAGCACGTCTTTATGTCCTTCCTGGTTGTAAATGCTCTGTTTTTACAGTTTTATAACGCGGGTTACTCAGCCAAGAGACCGGAGCACACAGCTTTATATTGTACTGCTCTGTCTGAGGCGTCGAAGCTGGGGCAGAAGAATACCCACGCCACTGACAAGAAACACCCCATGGTTGCACCAGACTTTTCCTTGTTTTCCCTCAGATAACAAAAGCAGGAGGTTGGGGGGGGGGGGGAATTGCTTTTTCTTGCAGAAAAGAAGGATCAGTTCAAATGGTGTCATTGCTCTGCTATTTATCCACAGTAAATTCAGGAAAGTTTGCCATTTTTTATTGCCCAAGGCAGATTTTCACAGTTTTGCAGCAAATTTTTAAGCTCCCCCCGTGCCTGCTGCTGAAACGTGGAATTTTGCTCTTGACCAATATCCCAGGTTCTCATGAAAATCCAAGGAGAGGGTGGGGAACAAGCTCAGGTTTTGCATGTAGGAATTAGTGACACCGGTAGCTCCGCAGTGCTCTCGGGACAAGGCTGATACTGAGATGCTTATACAGAATCAACCGTGTGGAGATGTGGTGGAACCTGGTTGGTTTGTGGGTTCTGACCATTCCTCTGAGGGCTGAAAGCTCTGTTGTCTGTCTGCCGTGTAAAGAAAAAGAACAATAAATTCATGTGACAAACAGCATTATGGAAATAGTGATGGTTATTCCAGCAAAGGAAGTGTTCAAAATGGAGATTCGAGGTAGTCCAGTTCTGAAACAGTGGGATGGGGGGCAGGAGGCAGGAGGGGAGGAAGGAGATGGAAATGTCACCTTGGTCTGTCAAGCTCCAAGCGTGTGGTTACTGCAGATTGAGCTCTCCCAAGAGCTTCACACTCTGGGTCTACAGGACTGGATGAGCAGCACGGAAGCTCTTTGTAGTTTGGACTCTCCATTCAAAGCCCAAGCTCTTGTAGCGTTGTGGGAGCAAGACAACACAATGAATACCAAGGGTTTCTGTAGCTGTGGGAAGGTGAAGGTTTGAGCAGGGTGGGAAGTGGGAGGTATTTCGCTTCCTAGAAATGATCCCTGTTTCATTCATCTTGGTTCAAGGATTTGCTCCATCACACCTCAAGGGGAATTTTACACCTTTCCAGGGCTGTGGAACTTGCCGCTTACTTGAGGGGCTCAGTGTGCAGCCATTCAGCACTGCTGCATTAATTCAGCTATTAAAAACAATAGCAGATACAACGAACAGGTTTGGGAACAGATGAAGCATAGGTATGAATGTTAATTTCACATATGCTAAAAGTGGCTCTTTCACCCCAGAAAATCTGAAGTTTCTTTATGCATTATAAATGTGATCTGTGGGTAAAAGATCATTGCTGCCATCACTGCACCTTGCTGCCTTGCCTGCAGCAGCCTCACAGCTCACAGTGCTGCAGCCTACCTGATCTTTATTAAATGCCACTCAGCTTCAGTTCCTTGTGAGCTGATTATTCCCTGCATGAGGAACTTCTGAAATACTCTCAACCTAAACTGCTACATACTTCCACTGCTCTGAGCCACCACGGGAAGCAGCAGTAACTACTCCTTTTTGTGAGAGCTGTGGCTTTTGGGGGAGAAGACTACCTTCAAAAACAGGCAAGGAGAAAAACCTGCAGTGAAGCTGCTGCCTTAGTACTGCTTTACTTACACCGTGTGTATTGTGCTGCTTGCAGCTGCTGGGAGGCAGGAGGATGCAGAGAACAAGATGCTGCTGGGAGCAGAGTGTCTGGGTGAGGCTATTTGAGACTTTGATGCTGGTGCCAATTGTAAATGGTCTTTCAAGGTGATAGGACACCCAGAGCATTGTGTATGCTCAGGAAAAATCTCCAAACCAACACTTAGTGGACATGGAGGAGACAAGTACATCACACCCGAGATCCCCAGCATCGTGTCACCTCGGATGTGGGCTGTGGAAGAGCAGTAGGAATAGAAACGTACATCAGGCACTGCTGAGTAACGTTTTCCTGCACTATAGCAATGGAGCCTTTCACCTCCAGGCCTTTGGCTTGCACCAAGCCAAGGTCATTGCTCAGGGGTGGTTGTGCCTGGTGATGAGCAGCCTGGGGGAAGGAGCAGTGATACTCCCAGCCTGGTCCCACAAGGGCACAGAGGGCACACCCAAACAGCGCTGTGCCTTCTGATGCGAGAGACATTCCGCTGGGTTTAGGGATGAGCCAGCCTGGGAAGCTGACAGAGAAGCATGTTCTGGCCTACTGGTCAGGAACAAGCACCACTCACTCTCCAGTGAAGAAGATGAGGGGGACAGACAGGTGCTGGGGGTAGGAGGGAATTTCAAGCTGTGCTTGCATTTGCTTTATGACTTGCTTTGCAGCTGCCTTGGAAGGAGAAGAGGCAGTTGTTAAAGATTACACTGCTCTGGAAATATTCTTAGATATGAGATGCTCATGCAAATAGTCTCCCCCCTCCTTTCACTGCTCCGCTAAGTTTTGGGTCACCTTGACTTCCACAGGGTTTTGAATAGATTTCTCTCTATTCATTTCTCTTTGTGCCATTGGCTGTGCACAGAGCTAGGCAGGAGGGTGCTATCTCCAGGCTCATCTCCTTCTCACCCCTCCAGCGGGAGGGTGTTCCACATCCTCTGTGGAGCACACTGTTTGGGAACAAGCATTACGTCAGAAAATTGGCACTATAAGACATCTTGCTCATTGTTATACTCATCTTGTCATCTACATAATGTTTATACATTGAATCTTCCTACAGCTGGAATACTTAACTGATACTCCCTGAACTTCATCCTCTGATTTCTCTAGGAAGTGCAGTGATTAAGGCTTACCTAGGGTGCATTGATTTAGGATTGCATCTTAGTTTAACCTTGGGATGTGAAATACCCAGATGATCTCCTTTAGTACTCTGTCCTAGTAGATAATGTCCGTCCCCGAGTTCAACTTCCCTTTGTGCCTAGCATCAACTAATTAGGGTCCTTTCATAGTTGATATTTCTTTTCTGCAAGGATGTTTATACATCAAATAAGCCATACCTCAGGCTTACTTTGATAAACTACCCAAAGAATTATTTAAGTCTTTTAGAGTTTGACTTTTTCTCTCTTCATCACTTACATCATTTCCTTCTGTGCCATTCCAGCTTTTATTTTTTGGAAAGAATAAAACCCAACCAAACAAAATTCTCTTTCAGGCAAGAACTAACGGAGACGTCATCTGAAGGAAGGGGGAAATAGTGCTGTAACTGATGCCAGACCTTAAGTGTATTGCTTCAAACTCATTACTCAGTTTTCTCTGCATGATACAGGTGTAGGGATTGCATAAATGTTCCAGACCTGTTTTCAGCAGTGGTGTCTGCAGAGGAATAATTGCATCCATACCTCCCCATGCATCTAGCCAGTGATTTGGCCAGCCCTCCTTGTCACAGTGTGTGCTGCAAGCTTCTCATTTGTGTCTGCTTTGTAACAGTGAAACACTGACTTCTGACACACAAGAAATGAGTTCTCACTTGCTACCATCCGTTGCTGGTGACATCTCAGTAAGTAACATCTGAATTTGTCAGTGTTCTTTCCTGAGACCTCCTCTATTCCACAATCCTTTGCTACTAAGAACACTGTTGTGAATAAAGCCCCTTTCTCACACAGGGTGCTTCTAGAGATGTTAAATATCACTGTAACAAAATGCCCGTTCTATTGGTGTAATGAGTTTAACCAAGTCCTTCTCTGCAGGGCTGCTCTGAATCTCTTCTCTGCCCAACCTGTAGCTGTGCCTGGGATTGCTCTGACCCAGGTGTAGGACGTTGCACTTGTCATGGTTAAACTCCATGAGGTTGGCATCAGCCCACCTCACAAGCGTGTCGAGGTCCCTCTGGATGACATTCCTTCCCTCCAGGGTATCAACTGAACCACACAGCTTGGTGTCATCGGCAAACTTGCTGAGGGCACACTCAATCCCACTGTCCATGTCACCAAACCAAATCAAATAGCAAACTGGCTTCAACACTTCTCCCTTTCTCTATTTCCTCTCATTTCTTCCTCTTTCTCTATTTCCATTACGTAAGAAGCTTTCTTACAGCCAGGGTGCCCGTCCTACCAGTGCCAGACTCCTTAGCACCTGCACAATACCCATTTTCTAAGACTTTTGATAGTTGTTTTTGGCTTTTCAATAACTTTCAATGCACTCCTCTAATACATAATGAAACTGGGGAAAATACCTGTGAATTGCTCTGCAACACTAAAACTCCCTAAAATCCTGGAGAGCTGGAAGAGTTTGTTAAGAAAATAGGGAAAAGGGACTTTCAGGCAGCCTCCCGCATAACTTTTTTGTTTGGTTGGTTTTTTTAAGTTATACTTTAATATTTCAGTGCTAGATGTGTGGTGGATTTTGCAGATATGCGATACATGATCAGGAGTACACGTTGCATGAGATGATGCCAAATGTAGAACTGGCTCTCTTTGCTCTTCACTTACCACTTCCCACCAAATTAAATGCCACTAAGGCATTTAATGCCGGCTTTTCTGGCGTTTTGCATAGTTTTAGAGCCTGCTCTTGTAGGCTTCAAGTATCAGTAGGCTTTGCCCAAATGACAGCTTGCTCTGGCAGCTGGACATGGTCACAGCAGGCAACAGAGTGAGAATGTCGAGGACACACAGACCCTGCACTTGGCCTTGTTGAACCTCATGAGGTTCACATGGGGCCACTTGGAGTCTGCCCAGGTCCCTTAGGACGGCATCTCCTCCCTCAGGTGTGTCAACTGCACCACACCGCTTGGTGGCATCTGCAGACTTGCTGAGGGTGCTCTCGATCCCACCATCTGTGTCACTGATGAAGATGTTAGTTAGCAATCGTGTGCAGCCTCAGGGGAGGCAATAGCTTTCTCAGCACAGAACTAGGCTAAGCAGCTGTTAAAAGTGCTACACCTACCAGTTTCTTTGGACTATGAGCAGAAGGGGGCAGATAGATACAGTAAAACGACAAAGCCGGGTTTGTAGGGCAGCAGCAGCTCCTGCCTGAGCATCCTCCCTGTGCGGTGCCATCGCTGGGTGAGCGGCGCCTGCAGCGCAGCGCAGCCCAGGAGACGTGCCTTCAATTCCCCACTGCTAAAACACCTCCAGGCGGCCCTGGGCAAGTCTCTGCCTCTCCCTGCTGCAGACGGGGGCTAAGGACACCTCCGTGCTGCATCGGGGTCTGAGCTACCTGCAGGCGCCTCTCCTGCTCCGGCTGCTGCTGGAACCCGGCACCCTTCCATCTGCGGTGCGCTGTGCCCCCCGCAGCGCTCCTGGAAAGCGCCGGTGACTCACGGGGCTCCTGCAGTCAGCATCCTCTGCACTGGCAGAGGGAGTTTGTAAAGTGAAGATGGATCAGCCGAGCCAGACTTCCCCGCGAGTTAACTCCTGGCTTCTCCTGCACACAAACCGCCTTGGCTGACGTTTCCGTCCCAAGAGGCGCAGCAGCCCCAGCCCTGCGGGAGGCAAAGCCAAGGGCATCCATGGGCAGGTTTCTGGGTACCTGCGCTACCCGCTCCTTCCCCTTGGGTACCTCCGGAAGAGGCGCGAGGGGGTTAACGCTCCCGGCTGGGTTAGCGCTTCCCTGTGCCTCCGGGAAGAGCCGCCGCATCAGGGCAGGGGAGAGGGAGGGACACTGCAGCAGGGCAGCGGAGGCGTTATTTAACCGCGCCTGCAGTCTCCTCCCCCGCGCCTGCTTTGCTGAGGGAAGGGGGAGCGGGCCGAGAGGAGGGAATGAACCGCGCGGCGGGGGCGCGCTGGGGGCTGCCGGAGCGCGGGGCCTGCGCCGGGAGCCGCCGGGAGCGCAGCGGCTGCTCCGCGGGGCTCCTGCGCTGAGCTCCCAACGGGGAGGTTGCGCTCGGAAGGCCGAGAGCAGCGGGCGCCGCTCTGGTGCTTCAGCATCTGCCGTGCCCCCCGCAGGGGCCGGGGGCAGGGGCAGGTTTGAGGCTCAGGGTCCGGCCGTGTCCAGGGCAGGAAACTCCTCGTGTTCCTCTCAGAAGATGTGCCGAAGATCATGGGCAAGGTAGCGGCTGGGTTTGGACATTTTGGCTCCGCAAGAAGGAAAGAGACTCATGTCTCTGCTGTGACTATGGATGATACCCTAGAAGAGGTCAGTCCGCGTTGCTTAATGCTTGTTTGTGCCTGAGGCCACCAGCCCTGCCTGGGACACACCACAGGACTCCTGGAAGAGGCAGAGAGGTCTCAATGCAGGTACCGGTGAGAAGCCCCTGACCCACCTTGAACAGGGAGGAAGGAGCATCCTCCGGGCTGGGGGAGAGGCACCATTGCTCGGGGGGTCTCCTCCTGCCCGCTGAGTGGGGACAGAAGCTTCTCAGAGCTGCTGGGCTCATCCCCATGACTAACAGGAAGGACTCGAAGATTGCTATGGACTCCCCTCCGGTGACCTCCGGCTCTGCAGCAGGCCCTGTTACCTTCTCACATGTTTTCGGGCAGCAGTGCCAGCTTATGGAAGCAGGTAAGAGAGAAACGTGTGCAAGTGCAACCTCATCGTCCTGCATCTCATCTCCTGGTTTGCAGATCTCTTCCCTCCCATCGTGTTTCCCAAGTTCTTCATCAGGCCTGGTCTTATCCAAAGGGAAAGTTGGAGTGACTCCTGTCACATCTGTGTAGCTCCCTCAACTTCTCCCAAAACTACCTAAAACCTTTGTGTCCAAATAGTTACAACTACGAGGCAAGGGTTGGGGTGATTGCACGTTTTTGGGTTAACGTGGTCTGGAGCAAACTGCTCTTTGCCTGGTAGAGGATGTTCCCATTGTGTTTGGATGTGTACACAACATGTATAGCAATTTTTCCAGTTTCAAAACAATGCCTTTCCAACTGGAGGCTGGTTTGCTGTTTTGGAGGGTGACTCTTGCAGTACAGAGCCTCTCGTGGTGTGTGGATCTTTACTTCGGTGTTCAATTTGACAAAGTGTTTGGTTGTTTTCCTTTGCTGCTTCTGGCTGTTTCTGTTACCATAGCACCTAGAAGCTCTGTTCCCTTTCCCAGGTGTTTTCATACACTTGTAATGTCTCTGCAGATGGGCCTGGTTGAACGTTGTTTGTGGCTTTTGGGTATTAAGGAGGGAGTGTGTAACATGGCTATTAAGGAGGGAGTAACATGGCTTATCCCAGATGTTAAATTTTTGCCTCTTGCTTTGCTCTAGCATCCTGCATCCTCCTTCATACTTGAGTACCCAAGACAGATTAGGACAATGAATCTTTTCCCTACCCCTGCTTCCAGGTAGCTTGGAGAATGGATGGATGTATTTATTTGCAGCTGTGGAGAAAGCCTGGGTTTTGGCAATGGTAACATCTGCTCTGAATTTCTAGGGCTTGTTTCACTGGGACCTGATTATTACTGTTGGATGGTGCCATGTATCTTGCACATACGTTCTCCAAAGTGTCCCATCCCCCCTTTCCTCTTTTTTTCTCTCTTCTCCCCAACTGACTCTGTGACTAATGAGGTTTGATTGTAATGTTGCTGTTTCTGTGCTGAGATACAAAATATTACGTACTGGGGGTTAGCTGCAGATCTGTGGGTGACTTCTGTTGTGCCTCTCATAGTACTTGCACAGGCTGAGCTTGGAGAGTGACTCCATAGCTGACATACCCCAGCTCATCAGGCCTGTGACCATGCTGCTGCCTCCAAGGAAATGGCAGGCAGTTTTTCAAGAGGGTTTGGTGTTAATATTCTGTATTATACGGCCTGGGATCAGTCCAAAGGTGCTGGATCTGTTGTACTGGATGTGACGCAGGGAGGAGATGTGTGAAAAGCCCTAGTCCTGGGTGAGCAATGTGTTTTCCAAATTAGTAAGATTGATCAGGTGGGAAAGCCTAAGTGGTCGTTTTAGTTTGGTTTCTCTTTCCTGTAGAAACCCCAGAGAGGAAACCTGTGATTCCAGGGCTGTTGAACCCCACCTCAGTAACGCAACCATAAGATTTTCTCCTTTTGTGTGGATCATTTTAGCAGGATTTTCTAGATGCCTTCTCAGGCATGTGCAGCCTGCAGGTACAAGGTACAATGCAATGTAGGGGTGGCTGCCATGAGAGTCACTGATACCCAAAGCAAATGGGTAGATACATGTGATACACATCTATTTCCATTCCTATTCTTATGACAATATAAGCTCAGCATACCTGCAAGCAGCATTTTGGTTGATGTGTTTGTGGATTTGCCTGTGTTCATAGGGCCTGTGTAAGCTGCCACTGTACTCCGGGGTTTTAATGTGCCCTAAGGGAGCAGGAGTGGATACAGGCTTGGGATGCCAAGCTCCATAATTTATTTATGTCCTATGCTCAAAGTGACACTTGGGGTGAGCTATAAAAGGTCACTACATCGTGTAGGGCTGCGCAAGGCCTTTACAGACCATAAACCCAAGATCCTGTGCATCCTCTGCAGTGACTTCTGAGGAGCTGTGTGTGGGGCCAAGTTCTCACCTCTACAGGCCAGATTTCATGAGCAAGACTTGTAGGCACTCAAGTACCACATCACTGCTGATGGTGACATTTGGGCTGTTTTTAATAACTGTGATGTGCTTGAATGTTAAAGGTTCTGGCCTGAATTAAATGTCAGGTTATGTGCCTGCAGAAATACTGAACTCCAGATAAATCACAGAATTGACAGCACAGCTTTCATGTACCACCTGGAAAGAGCTCGATTTTCTATAGCTTCTGCCTTTGCTCCAAGGCACCTGCAAGAAGATCGGGGATCTGCTTCCAGAATATGCTTGGGTTTTGTGTAGCAGTGTCTGTCCTTGAAGGAGAGAGCGGAGGGTGCGTGATGCTCTTGCAAATGTGTGTCCCCTTGTGCCAAATGCTGCTCTTCAGTAACTTGCTCTGAAAAGCCAGTACTGAATGCCTTGAAAGTTAACTTGTCTCCAGCCAGCTGCACGTTTTTCCAGTTGATGGAAGGCTTGAAGTTTTTTGTGTGTCTCATTCTGCATAATTGGCTGATTATTCATGCATAGCTTTTGTAGATTTGCATAATACCCTGGGATGTAGTATGGTAATCACAATATTAGTCTAAAGAGTGTGTTGTCATATGGGAGCTCTGCTCCAAAGCTGTTTCGTCCTTTGTGGAAGTACTTGATCTCTATTTAACATCTGAAGCACTGTTTACTTGTCTATTATATAGGATGCTCTCTTGAAAATTAGTCTTCGATCTTCCTACTCTACCCCACTGTACTGTTGTTACTTTACCAAGTTTACTATGCCGCCATACATTTGTTTGGTGGGATGTGTTCCTTGCAGTTACGTGGGGTTTTGTGTGCACTGAGCACAGGGAGTAGTGCAGGTTGGAACACTGCAGCTGGCTTAACTCCTCCTTTGGAGCTCGCTGATAGAACTCCAGTTTTCCCAGGCAGGCAATTCTTGCTGTTTCAGGCTTTAAATGTGCCTGATGCCTGAAAGATCTGTCAGTGTCATCTGGGGACATGGTCACCTTTCAAGAGAGTGTGATTTTAAAAGGGGGGCTGTAAGTCCTGTCTAGAATTGCTCAGAGAATAAGGTTTTCATTTCATGGGCAAGCCATGTACGTTGATTGGTTTTTTACCTGGTTCAACCTAACTCCAAGGGTGGTGATTTCCAAAAGGAGTAATTGGGAAAGAAGCTGTCTTCATAACCTAATCCTAAATCTTTCATATCTTAGCTGGAAGTCCTGTCTGCCAGGGAACGAAGGAGCATCTTTCATGTCTGAAGCACGAATTTGAATCTGGCATAGATAAATCTACAAATACTGCCAATACTGGGGTGAAAGGGTCTGGGTTTCTCCATTTGGCTGCTTCTGGATTTAAAAATAATAATAAAAAACTGGTAGTGTCAATTAGAAATCTTTCAGACTTCAAAATAGGAGAGACTGAGGATTTGAGGGGTATTTCCTTTCTGCCCTCCCAGGAAGTATTGAATACATGGAGTGAGACCAGAGCTCAAAGAGAGCTGAGGACTCTCTTGAAGAATTAGGCTTAGTAGAGAAACCACTTTATACACAGGCAAGTTCCGAGCAACTTGTTTTGCTTAAACCACGACCATGATGCAGTTTTTTGGACTTACAGCCTTGACTCACTGCTCCATTAGATTGTCCTTTTCCATATATTCTTTGGCTTACAGATGCTGCCATTTTGTTAGGCTCCAAGTTGGTTTATTTTTTATATCTTTCCAGTTAATTTTCCATTGGTTATGAAATAAGGAACTTGGTTCAAAATGGACCAGAAAGAACAAGAAAGCTTTAGGGTGATTTGAAAATCATTGAGGCTTTAAGATGTTGCGTTGAAACTTTTCCATGTTATCTTTCAGTTATACTGAACACTTACGCAAGGAAATGCCCTGATTTGTTGCATCGGACACTATAGGTGCGCTGATTTGCTTTTAAGCAATTATAAGGTGCTGAATTCACAGCACTGCACTGCCTGATGAGGAAAGGAGCCAGAGAGTGACAGAGCAGACTGATTTGCTAGTACACGAGCAAGGTCTGAGGGCAAACCAGCCCTGACAGCTTTCAAAGGAGCAAAGCTGCAGCAGGGCAGGGAGGGGTTCTTAAAAATAACCCCTCAGATCAATGCTTGTCTGTAACTTACTGCTTTTCCATGTGGGACACTGCTCTGCCTAATAACTCCTTTATAGCCAAGGCCTTTCTTAAGAAAGCTTCACTAATATCATTGCTGATCTAAAGCACATACTGGGCACATGGGAAGAACTTCTGGGGAAAATCACAGCCCCTCATAAAACGCTGAAGAACATCTCTGACCTTTCAAAATGAAGCTGAGGAGCTGAGCATTTGCCATCTGTGCTCTCACATTTTTGTCCTTCAGTCCCTTGTGCATTTTTCCATGATTTAATTAAGCACCAGCCAAACAGGATCTGGTTTCAAACCTTTTACCTGCAGCTGAAACAGAGCAGAGGTGATCTGGTTTTACCTTCTTCCCAAAAGCTGAGACTAGGAGTGCCTGTCAGGCGCTCAGGGAGCCACATCGCTCTCATCTTCTGCCACATATATGTGATGAAAGATGATTTAACAGGTTCATATCAAACCCGCAACCCTTTCTGGTCTTGGGTTTCCGTAAGTACAACCCTTCAGCGAGCTCAGGCTCAAGCTACGAGCACATTTGAGCTAAGCCCTTGTGACAGCTCTTCTTTCCTCTCACGGACAACAAGAGAAAACAGTCAGCGTGAAACCCGCTTGGATCAGTTGGTTTGAGACCACACAGAATCGGGGCTAGAAATGTGTTCCTTGGCTCTCAGTGATTTAAGTTTCCTACAGGCATTAGTCTGTAATAAATTTTTAATGGTAACAAGTTGTTTCATTTGCTCTCCCAAGAGAAGACCCTGTGTGTATGTACAGCAAAGAGACTTTGGTTCCAAAGACGATTGCAACAGTCCTGATTAATCAGCGTGCCATGGGGTAGGTCTGTGCATGAGCAGCAGATTTCCTGCGTTTGGGGACATAAGAAACAGAAATATGTATCAGTTGAGTGAGGTGC